GGCTGCGCTCAACTGTGATCCCAGAGCCACCAACGGCTGCGCTTATCTGTGATCCCAGAGCCACCAAGGGCTGCGCTCAACTGTGATCCCAGAGCCAAAGCCAACACTATTCATAGACCAGTCAGGGCTTATCTGAAGAAGCAGAGGAAAAGATGGGCACTTGGTGATGACAATCAACAGACACATCTGACGTCACGTATGTCACATATATGACACTCAGACTGTGCAATCAGTACTAGAGGGGGAGGGCTGCCTCTTAAAGCTTGGGTATTTGTAGTGAAAGGTGAAAGCAAATTCTAAATATGTGGATTATGATCTTTTATGTGTTTGAGTGCATGTATGTATATGTGCATGGAGGTCAGAGAACAATGTCGGGCACATTCCTCCTCAGACACTGTCCATCTTGTTTTGCTCATTATTTTAAATTTAAATCCATTTGTGTGTGTGTGTGTATGTGTGTGTGTGTGTGTGTGTATGTATATGACGCAGGATGTCCTGCTGTATGCTGTGAATACCATTGTTTAATAAACAGATTGTCTTAGGCCTGCGTAGGGCAGAACAGAGCTAGGTGGGGAAAACTAAACTGAATGCTGGGAGAAAGAAGGCAGAATCAGGAGAAGCCATGTAGCCCCACTGGAGACAGACACCAGAACTTTACCTGGTAAGCCACAGCCTTGTGGTGATACACAGATTAATAGAAATGGGTTAAATTAAGATGTAAGAGCTAGAGCTAATGGGCCAAGCAATGATTTAATTAATCAGTTTCTGTGTAGTTATTTTGGGAATGAGCAGCTGAGAACGAACAAGCGGGCTCATACAACATGTATATAAGTGTGTGTATGTGTGTATAAGTATGTGTATATATGTGTTTGTGTGTTTGTGTGTATGTATGTGTATGTGTGTATATATGTATGTATATGTGTATATGTATGCATTTGTATGTGTGTATGTCTTTGTGTGTGTATGTATGTATTTGTGTGTGTATATATGCATGTGTGTGTGTGTGTGTGTATGTGTGTACACCACTGTATGCATGCAGCAGCCAGCAGTAGTCAGCTTTCTCCTTACACCACATGGGCCCAGCTAACTGAACTCAGGTTGTCAGATCTAGCAGCAAGCGCCTTTACCCAGCGAGGCATCTCACCACCACAACACCTTGCTTTCTGAGACTGGTTAGGCTAGGCTAACCTATCTGTGCCTCCCCAGTGGACGCCATCATGCCTGGCTTTTATGTGGGGATTGAGCTCAAGGCCTCGTGTATGCACAGCCAGCCCTTCACAACTGAGCTGTCCCCACCTGGACTTTGCTCATAACCAAAGGCCAGCAGCTCTCAGGAAGCTTAGGTCAGCAGCTGTGTTCCAGAAGCATGCCAACGTGTGATTATTCTATCAGTTATGTGTTTAATCACACACAGGAAACCCCTGCCTCAAGAGCCTCTACCACAGAGCTACACTGCTTTCATTTCTGTTGTGATGTTAACCTCACCGAAAGCAACTTAGAGAAAAAAGGATTTATTTGATCTTCAGTTCCAAGCTGCAGTCCATCACTGAGGGGGAATCAAGGAAAGGACTTGAAGCAGACAGTGACATCACATCCAGTTGAGGCTCCATGTCGCCTGCCTGCCTCTCCCACCTTATTGAGCTCAGCACCCAGCTGAGCACCACTTACATTCTTCTTGATTTTGTTCCTAATTGTCTCGATGACGCCAGCCTCTTCACTCTCACAGAGCTTCTCCGTGGTTTTTAAGTCATCGCACGCCAGCTGCATCTTCTCCTCCTCAAAGGTCATCATGGCGTTCTTCCAGGAAACAGAAAGGACAGATGACTCAGGAAGCATGGGAACCGTGGAGTGCCAAACTAGAAAAGCCGTCTCTATTATGTAAGCTGAGATTGCTCGTTTGCTTCCTGGCTGCCCAGACCCAGTTTGGACAATGACTAGACATATTCCTAGCTAGCTCTTACATCTTAAATTAACCCGTTTCTATTAACCTGTGCATCACCACGAGGCTATGGATCACCAGTAGGGTTCCGACGTCCTTCTCCTCCAGCAGCTACATGGCATCTGTTTGACTCCGCCTATTCTCTTATTCTATCTCTGTTCGGATTTTCCCTGACTTTACTCTAAGCCATTGGCTGAACAGCTTTATTCATCAACCAATAAAAGCAACACATATACAGAAGGACATCCCACATCTCAATTACTCTCAAGTAAAGAGGTTCACACTGTTACAGTACACACTAGTCATTAAAGAAACTAGTATAACGGTAGAAAATAAGACTTTAGATCTCGATTATGGATTATGACAGCATGAAAAAGGATGCAGAGGTGAATGTCCTTGTAATTGTGTTTTAGTCCTTTTAGAATTAAACACGGTAGAATGCTCTCCGTTTTTACTCAGGTCCTATAACAGTGTCCCACACAAAAGCTCGCTCCACACACTAATGGATCCCTGGCTCAAAGACTGAACTAGACTTACTAGTAAAAGAGTAGCTAGATGCCAGAGATGCACAGGATTTTAGTGGGGACTCCTGTAGCCCATGCTGACCTTGAAGTCAATATACAGATAAGGATGACCTTGAGTGCCTGACTCTGCCTTCAGCAGGTACCCACGCACCTGGGAGAGAACTGAGGTCTCTGAGCTGACAGGCAGCTGGGAGAGGAGTCAGTTCTCTGGAGCCCTGGTGGGCCTGCTGTCTCTCTCTTCCAGTGCTCCTGTGGATGGGGCTGACAGCCTAGGCTCCTTTGCTATGATTCTAACTGACTTTTCCATTATGGCCAAATCAGACCTCAGTCCCTTTGTCCCAGCCACGCTCTCCTCCCACGCACCCTTCAGGATGCTAAACTCTCAGCTTTGCTGTGACCTGGCTCTCCCTCCCTCCCCCAGGACAGTACTACCAGGCCCTCTCTCTGTCCCCACTGCCCGCCTCGCAGTCACTTGGGTATAGGACAGCTAATCTCAACTGTCCAGTTGATGAGCTAAGATCACCTGGGAGACGGATGAGCGTGGCACTATTCCCTGGGCTGGGATCCTGGATTTTTATAAAGCATTCATCATTCCGATTGTGACTATGGCTACAGTGGGACCAGTGACCTTAGGCTCCTGTCTGTGATGTACTAACCGCTAAGGATTGTCACCTCAAACTGTGACCCACCATGTCCTTTCTCTCTTTAGGTGTTTGTGACTGGTGTTTTATTCCAGCCACAGGAAAAATAACTAAAACGGACACGTGTCTCAGTCTCCATCCAGAACGGTCTCCCCAGGGATGGAGCCAGCAGCCCTACAAAGGGGAGGACTTCAAGCTTTTGTCCCAACAGGACCCCAGCTTATTAGCCCTGGCCAAGGCCCAGGCAGGATGTCTACGAGTGCCCACTGGCAGCTGTCCTTCTGTCTTCACTGTGAATTTCTCTCCCTCTCCTCACTCAGCAGTTTCCACATTCCACAACTCTAGGATGATTGTTTGACTTTGGTTTTGGTTGTTCCCCTCCCCCTCTCAAAACAGGGTTTCTCTGTAGTTTTGGTGCCTGTCCTGGAACGAGTTCTTGTAGACCAGGCTGGCCTTGAACTCACAGAGATCCGCCTGCCTCTGCCTCCTGAGCACTGGGATTAAAGGTGTGCACCAACACTGCCCAGCCTATGATGATTTTTTAAATGATATACTTAAAATTGGCTTGTGTGACAAGCATTTCTGAAAAAAAGCGTTCAGCATCCTATGTTGACAGTTGACTGTAAAAACTCCTCTGACCCATTTCCTCCCCTCTCAGCAGCAGTCCTGGGAAGCAGGAACTCATCCTGAACTCATCCTGAACTCATCCTCCAGGCTGCTGTCGCTCAGGGTGGAGCTAACTTCCTTCCCGAAGGCTTTTCCTCCTGTCACACAAGAACTTTCAGTTGGGAAAAATGTAGCCCCCTAAAAGTTATATATAAGCATTTTATTTTTAAGACTGGGGGAGAACGTCTATCTCACAGACATTAGTGTCTACACGGCCAGCAGGCAAACGGGTGTTAATTTATATTGTTTTATAGCAATATCTCTTTTGATATCAACTTACCAAAAAACTCACAAAGCTGGCTCCAAAACTCATTAGCGGGCTATGATTTCTGTTAAAGAAACAAACAAAAATATTTTACTGGAATTCTTCCTTTAAAAGCACTTGGTAAGATAGCAGATATCATGCGCTAACTGCATTCATTGCGCAGAGGTAAGGTAAGCAAGCAGATTCAGCAGCATCAAGAAGTTGAAGAGGTGAGGTATTCCCGGGTTCCACCACCTTGAGAGACTCCACTTCCAATTCTTCAAGGTAAGCGAGGTCTCCCAAGTGTTCAGCTACGACAGGCTGCCTTAGTAAACTTTTAAATGTGGTCACCAAGGAGTTGACAGTAAACATAGAGACATAAATAGAAAGATGGGCTAACACTGCTTGATCACGGCCAAAGGAGGGTGATGAGCTGTGGTGGTGCCTGCAGGCCTGCAATACCAGCGCTTGGGAGGCTGAGGCAGGAGGATCACGAAGTTAAGGTTTCCCAAGCGAATTACAAAGCAAGATCCTACTTCAAAAACAAAACAAAACAGAAAACAGGATACACATGAAGTCAGTTTTATTTGTAGAACAGATCAAAGGTGTCACCACCTGGCTTGAACTCTCAGACTCACCACCCAAAGTTGAGAACACTCCCGAAGACACCGCATTCCCCACCAAGACACTGTCATTAGCCAGTTTTGTAGTAAGCACAAGAGAAAGCCCAGCCAGTGCCAAGGGAGTCAAAAAACATACAGGAACATATAGTCTTCATTCAAACTAAAAACTATTGCAAAATCGATCTCTGTAAATTGTGTAAGGAGAAGAAAAGCGTGTGTTCTTAAATAGAAAACAGCAAAAAAAAGTTACTAATTGTTCACTATGTAAATACATGGCCAGTATATTCCCCTACTCAAAATTTAGATTGTGCCTAACATGAAAGTGTGTATATGTGTGTGTGAGAGAGAGAGCCCCTGTGTATATGAACATCCACACCTCTGCTTGAGAAACATCCTACATGGACATCCTACATGAGACAGACGGCCAGAGGAAGAACCACAGTCAATACAAGCACATCTCCCTCTTCCTTGCACGGGCTTATGTGGAAGGGTGTACTGCGGAGGGAGACTTTAAGATTAAATTTATGTAGAATGCTAGCCTGCCAGCGCTTTCTTCCATCTACTTTTTACTTCCGCCATCCTAGAGCTGCTTCCAGTTGCCTGTTCCCACTTAGAAGGACACTTAAATGAACAACAGCGACAAACAGGAACGTCAGCTCACTTGTAAAAAACCCGAAGCAGCACTTAGACCCCGAAGCTTAGCTGGGAGGTCTGGGTCATGATGACACTGCCCTCCAAACACAAGCGTGCCCAGAGCCTACATGTGGCACAGGTCCTTGCTCTGGATTCTGTTACCTGCACTCTGGCGTCTTACTCAGCAGGCAGTGGGGGACAGGAATCAGTGAGGAGAGGGGACTCTGCTCTCAAGAGCAGATGCATCTCAACACGGTGCTGGCGTGTGTTCCCCATCCCCTGCCTGTAGTTCAGCCACTAGCCACTGCTGCTTTTGCTTCACAATCTTGGCTAAAATTAGCTTCCTGAGAACCACGGGAATTAATTATTCATGGTACCAAGTCTTGCCCCTGTTATTCTACATCCCATCTTATCATTTAAATGGAAAAAAAATATTGGCCCCAGTCCAGCAGAGGCATTTTCTCTCCCTGAGGTCCTGTCCAAAGAGCACACAGCATGGGCACTGCAGGCAGTTCCTGCCGTCCTGTCAGCCTCCCCCACAGCCCTGTGGGCGGCAGGGCTCAGTCACCCACCTTCTCTTGCTGCTCCTCTCTGCCTTTTAACATCATATACTTCAAGTGACCAACATTAACTTATCTCATCTCAATTCTGGCCCCCACACATCTCTACACAAAACATGTCTTGGGAAATTTAAAAATGTCTCCAAAGATACTTTATATCCCCAAAGATACTTTCTACATATGATTACTGGAAGGCCTGCGGCAGATGGAAGCAGGGCTCTGCACTGCTCGAGACTCTCACATGAGGACCCCACAGTGGCAGGGAAGCCCCAGCATTGGTTTGGAAACAGGTTACCAGGACTACAGACGTTGGTAGAACGCTTGTCTATGACTCACGAGGTCCCGAGCTCAACCTCAAGCCCCTCACAGGCCAGGTGCTATGGCAAACATCTATGATCTCTACACCTGGAAATTGAGGCCAGGAAGATTGGGAGTTCAAGGTCATTCAACTACATGTAAGTATAGATAAATAAATCATCAAAATGAGCATGCAATCTAGAAGGTAAGGGGAAGGAAAGAGGGGAGAGATGAATGCTCTCGTTCTTGTATTTACACTGTTCATAGACGAGACCCTGGGGTCCACAACAGCAACAACTAGCTGTGAAAGGAACTGAAGGGACCTACGTGTAAATCCGAGTTCACGCACACTGCAGCGGATCAGGTGACACAGTCAATAGACTTTAAAGTGTGTAGCCCAACAGTGCATTCCTGTTATGGAACGTCCTCAGAGGCCACCCCACACGCCTTACCCTGTGTGTGTCCAGTGGCCATGTCCTTGCAGGAAAGTAGATTCTATTTTTCTACAACAGTTGAGACATAGTTTTGTGATACAGAAAGAAGTACGTTAAAAATCCATGACTTTATGCTAATTAAGAACTTTTTCTTTTTTATTTTATGCATACAAACATTTTGCCTGCATGTGTTGTGTCTATGAACCACACGCATGCAGTACCCAAGAAGGCCACAAAAGAGCACTCGATCTCATGGAACTGGAATCAGAGATGGCTGGGAGCCACCCTGTGAGTGCTAGGAATTGAACCCAGGTCCTTTGGTAAAGCAGCTGATGCTTTACCCACAAAGCCAGCTCAGAATACAAACTGCAAGCGTTCATGCAAATGCCAGGTATTTTTCAGTCTTAGCAAAGGACATATTTCCTAGTTCTGTCCCCTACCAAGTCTAGAAACAATGCTCACTTCCCAGGTGTGTGCATGCCCAGCAGCCATGTGCACACTCGGCAACCTTCCTACACACACCGTGCCTCCTCCACGAACTAGCTGGTTCCAGATCAGATGCAAGAAGAGCCTGAACGTGTCACAGCACAGAGTAAGGAAGTATGGGGGGGGGTGTTCTTCAAGGGGTTCCCATTATCCAAAGAAGAAAACAGTTCATCGTCCTTGCGGGGAAACTGGGTGGAAACAAGACAGCTTTAGCCATGCTAACTAAAAGTACTTTAGCTAAAAGGAGGGAAAGCTTACTTGCCAGTTGTGACCACACACCTGACAGGAGCGACTGAGGGGAGAAAGGGTTTGCTCTGATTCAGTTTCAGAGGACACAAGTTCACCATCACAGAGGAGGACGGTGCGGGGGCGGGGGGACAGGACTCACAAATTCACCATCACAGAGAAGCACGGGGGAGGGGGATTCACAAGTTCACTATCACAGAGGAGCATGGCGGGAGGGGGGGACTCACAAGTTCACCATCACAGAGATGCACAAGGTGGGGGAGGGACTCACAAGTTCACCATCACAGAGAAGCACGGGGGGGGGAGGGGAAATCACAAGTTCACCATCACAGAGATGCACAAGGTGGGGGAGGGACTCACAAGTTCATCATCACAGAGGAGCATGGAGGGAGGGACTCAGTCCATCCTATTTATGCCTCAGCATCTCAGGAGGCAGAGGGTCAGGCCTGCCCCTTCATGACCTGTATAAGCTCGGCCAGCCCTAGTCCCAAAGATTCTACAGTCTCCCAGACAACGCCAGCAGCGAAGGTCAGACCCTAGGGAGCCAACTCATCATGTTGGAAACTGACCACATTTAAATAGGGGCGGAAGAAATGTGCATGGAGTCTGCCTACCCCTGTGAACCTGGAGGAGCTGGCTAGTGGGGAGGGGGTTTCTCTAGTGAATGAACAGCAAACTGCAGCAGAATCACTGTCTGCCCTAACGAAACGCAGGCAGTAATCATGAAGACAGAGCAGGCGGGAGTCATGCTGCAGGCAATTCCATGGGATTAAGATCCTAAATTATTCATCAACAATAAAGAGCCATACAGGGAAGGGGGAACAAAAACAGAATTTTTACCACAAGACACACCACACAACAGAAACACAGAAAACAATTCCAAATCAGAAAGCAACATTTGCAATGACACACACACACACACGAACATACATACACACACTGATACATACACGGCCATATAGAGACATATACACAAAGAGACATACATACACAGACATATATACAGATACAGATACACAGGCACAGAGACACACAGACAGAGAGAGAAGTACACAGATATATATATACAGATACAATGAAAGACAAGATTTCAAACTGTCCTGGACAGTAGTGATAAACCACTAATCAACTAAGAAGATGTCTGACATGGACAAGAAGTTCCCTGCACTGAGAACTCAGAACACTCTAAAAGAAACTAAATTCTTGCATGTCTGTTTCCAACGGTGGTGTCCTTAGCATTTAGAACCATAGTCCTTTCTTCTGTGGCTGCTGCACCTCAAGGACAACAGGCAGAAGTGCACACCAAGCAACAGTCGTAATCGCAGAGGGCACCTGACACAGACGCTGGGATTCATTAAGCTCTCCTCTACAAGTTGGAAACGTGCAAAGGTTAGGCTACGATTGGTTTCCCGAGGGTCCATGCTTTGGAAGTGTGTCCTCACTATAATGATGTTGAGATTGGTCCTTTAGGAGGGCCCAGGTCCCTGGGAAAACCCTTGAAAGGGATTTAGGTATACCTCACAGACCTGGTTGACGATCCAAAGAGAACTGTGACAGAACACTGTGCGTGGCCTCAACCAGTCTCTCTGCTTCCTGTCTCGCGGTGTGATCACCTGATCCTTATCTTGATATGCACCATGACGTGATGAAGAAACACGGCCTCACCAGAACTAAATTGAGGCCAACGCTAGCTACCTCAGTCTTCCAAAACTGTGCGCAAAATAAATCCGTTTATAAGTCAGCCCACCTCAGACAGTCCATTACAAGAAGCCAGTACAACGTGTACAATATTTTCCAAAACCAAAA